AACTCCTGCGGTAAGGATGTCGTCCCTCGCGCCCTCCGTTGATATCCTGCTCAACGACGTGTTGGAGAAGGAGCTCGACATTCAGCGCACCATCTATAATTTGGTGGAATGGGACAAGCTGATGAAGCAGTTGCAGACGCAGGCAGCGATCGCGACTATCCCGGAACCGGACACGGTGACTCGGACTATCGCATCGCAAGAACAGGCGCCGGGAGTGATGCTGGGGGGAACCCTAGCCGGGAGCAACTCAGAAATGGCTTATTGGGACTTGATCCAAGTCCTAGGGCGCAACGCCCCAGCGGAATTTCGCGCTGTGCCATGCCCCTCGGAAGAGGTGGTCGACATTTTGGTCATTGGAGACTCTTCATGCGCCATGGTCGAAGAGCCGAACGACAAATTCCCGACCAAGCACCATGTGGCGGAACTGCTTCAGGCCGAACAGCTGAAGGGGGTCCGCAACATCTACCACGGCATGGACTGGGGAAAAGGGCTTGACGCTATTTATAGCACCATGGAGGCCAAAGTGCGATTCATCGCCGAGGACAACTCCAAGAAGGGCATCAAACAGCTTCCCATTTCGGTTTACGTATTGTGGGGAGGAAACGATGTCTTCGGCAACTATGGGTACGTGGGGTGCAGATGGATCCATGAGAAACGGTTCAATCGTACGGAGGCGGGCCGGAAGGCCGCGTCGGAATGGCCAAAGGTTCAGAAGACCCGCGTGTTTGAGCAGCTTGACTTCTTCAAGGAGGCTGTTGGGCTCGGACGCATTCGGGACATTACTTTCATCAGTAACCCGGACGCCGAGGACTATGGCCTCACATCCGATTACAAAGAGGCTATGAACGGCTGCCTTCGACACCTTGCAGATGGGGACATCGACGATGGGACCCGCATCAAGGCGATCGACTCGATCGACCCGTCGGTCATGACATTGCTGGCTCACAGGTACGATGACGTGCATATGACGTACAGCAATGCCAACCGGAAGGTTGTGTCGAAGTTCCTTCATGCGGCAATCAACACGCAGCTGTTGGCCCAACGGATCAGGTGCGCTCTCCCGGCTATCGGGAGCGTTGAACCCTATGTGAAAGGAGAACCGGTGGATCCTGTGCTGTTTGGCTGGCCCACATGCTTGAAGCTGGCCAAAGCACTCCACGAGTATGCTGCGATGGAGGAGAGGCCCGACTGGCCTCACGATCAGGAGGGCGAGGAGATCGACGCCGACGTGGCCGCCTGGATGAAAGTGGCTGAGGACGAGTCCTACAATGCCATGACCATCGAGATGCGGGGGGCCATGGTTGACGAGTCGGAGATCATCCTCGAGGCGGTCGACAAGGGAGAAGAGAACTCCGACGAGGAGCTTGACCGCGTCGAGATCGCCATGTCACAATACATTGGCCACACTGCGGAACAGCACGGGTTGTCCATTGTGCCTGACGATGAGGACAAGGACAAGTGGCTCCTGCTGGGCGATGACACCCAGGATTTTGGGTGGGACCCAACCAACCTGCCCCCAGGAGTGCACCGCGCTGCGCCGGAAGGCCAGTCGATCGTTATCGCGGAAGGAGACTTGTTCGACCAGGAGACGGTTGTGTCATTGGAACTGGTGTCAGAGGCAGATGAATCCGAGGCGGCAGGGATGAGTTCCATGATCACCGCGGAGTCGGTCGCTTTTGAGTCCGTGACGGAGGGCACCAGCACATCCAAGCAACCGCCAACTCCGCCGCCACCAAGGCGCGGAGCTGCTGCAAAGAGCGCTGTGGGGGAACCCCAGTCGACTGGTTTCATCGAGATTGGAGACGAGTCGGACCCCACGGCTGCCGGTTCGGCCGACAAGCCCCAGGTGAAGGCGATGCCGAGGATTGCAAAGGCCAAAGCGCCGCCTGGCAACGCCGAGGGGGAACCCCGGTCGAAGAAGCAGAAGGACCCGAAGCAGGAAAAGATCTTTTGGGAGGACTGGGCCAAAACCCGGAAGATCAACACGAAGATCCCGGCCGAGGAGCAGTGCGAGTGGCTCGAGGTTGAGGATATGGGGCATGTCCCCAAGGTCAATATGGACCGCGATTACAGGCTTGTGGCTATCTCGAAAAAGATGTCGTACTTCCTCCGGGGAGGGGCATTCAAGGACGGGAAACCACACCCACCATTCCGTGGAATCGATTTGTCGGTGGAGTTCGATGCACTGGTCAGGCATTTGAACGACCGGATTGCCAATGTCATGCCTTGGGAGGTGATGATCTGCATCCGGAATAACAATACCCGGAGATTCCGCGTGATGGTTGGACCCCCTCCTTTGGGGGAAGCATCCTGGAAAGGATTGCCGTATCAGGCGTTGCGGGTGAGGGCCGTGCAAGGACACCACAACGAGCTCACCAGGAAATACACCGAGCAGGCGATCCTGACGAATTTGTATTCCTTTGACGAAGAGTTCACTGCGGCGAAGTACTTGGGCGGGCAATACCCGAGACCGGTACGGCATCCCGAGCAGACGGATCTCTGGCGCAGGGGCTTCCCTGCTGTTCTCTACCATACCTGTGACCTCAGGTCTGCCGAGAGCATTATCAAGTTTGGCCTGGTCCCGGGGGGCTATCCGAAGTCGACAGGCAGAGCCCACGTCTACTTCAACCCCACGCCACCCTGGGAGGCGCAGATGAGGAAGCTGGCGGGAACGCGAGCCGGAAGGCCCGTCACGATTGCTTTCGATACGGAGCTCATGATGCAAGACGGCATTCGACTCTTCACGAGCGATGAGGCATTTATGTCTGCCGATTGGGTTGGAAATGCATATATTATTTACGCTTTCCACACCCGCAAGAATGAGTTCCTCTATTTCAATCGCGCGTACCCCGAGCTTCGCAAAAGGTACCGCGATGCGTTGACATCCGAGCTCACGCCAGGTCCCCAGGAAGCCAATCCGAACTTTTTCAGAAGTGAAAACACCCTGACCGCAGAAAAGGCATGGAGGCATTGGCGGACTGTCGTTGAGGGGACAAGGAACGGCAAATTGCTTCCTGGTGCCGTGACTGAGATTGCCACGATCGATGAGCTCGCTCCCCGGAAGGGGAAGTCGAATGAGAGACCTGCAGGGCCGACGTATCAGGTCGCGCCTGCAACCCTTCGACGGGTGCCCGAGCTCTCCAGGGGAGAGAAAGGGCATGGTCGCGGCTGGAACAACCTTCGGAGCCGCTACCAGAACGAGCCAAAGTGGGAAGACCTCTTTTTCACGACCATGATGAAGAACCCGGTTGTGAAGTGCTGGAACAAGAGGTGTGGCAACCAGCAGATCGACGGCTACCTTTTGTGTCAGGAATGCCGATCAGATATGGTCGAGTGGACGGATGCCCGGATCGCCACCGAGGTTGTGCGCCTTGAGCACACCGCGTCTCTCCAAAACATGGTCTTCTACTTGGAAGACCTCCAGGGGGGCGGTGGGAAGTGGATCCGCTCCAAGCATCACGCCAAGGAAGGCGACAAGCGGGGAGGAGTCTCCGTCGAGGCGTCACTCAGAAAGACGGCAAAGACGCATCTGACCAAAGCGCTGGCAATGGGCTGTGAGAAGGTGTTCGACCGCCTCTCGGTCGACCCGTTCTATGCCTATAATTGCGCTACGCAAGGGTTGACTCCTGAAAGCCTGGATTTCCTAGGCAGGATCGCCCGAGCGATCGTTGCAGACCCTGGCCGCACACGAGAGGAGCGCGATAGGGGAGGGTCTCAGAACACTGGCGCGAAGTTGGTGTTCATTCCCAGCCCCAACAAGCGCGACCCCCACGAGTTGAACGTGTCAACGGAGGCTTTCATCGCGCACCATGCGAGATTCTACACCATCATGCAGTTCGCGGTTATGTGTGCCTATCGTTTCATTCCCGGCAATCAGGTGCCTATCATCATTGGGCACAGTGGATCATACGTCCCGGAAGGGAGCGTCGAGAACATCTTGGAGGTGATGGTTAGCTTTATCCGCACCTCGTGGGCAAAGCACGACTCCCAAGGAACGATCAGCACAGGCGAGCTGGAGATCCCGCAATTCTCATCCGGCCGTACAAGAAGCTATCCCGTCGAGGCGAGGAACACTCAGTGGAGGGCAATCACCCGGTCCATCCGCCCCGAGCCCTACAATGCCAAGGGAAAGGGCAAGGGCAAAGGCAAGAACAAGGGGCGTCAGGACTGGAGCTCTTGGAACTACGGGTGGTCCTATGGATGGGATCAATGGCGTCAGGGCCCATGGGGATGGTGAGCACCCGCATCAATCACGAAAAGTTTAGCTTTTGTTGCGGTAACCTTTTCAAATTTCATTGGTGATGTCATGTTCGAAACCTATTATTTTTCATCCATTGATGCCGCAACATTTGCTGTGCCATGTTTGCACGCCCGGCGGAAGCTGCGGCCGTAGGTCAATCCACGGCCGCCACCACCGGCTGTTATTTCGATTTCGCCCAGCGGAAGCTGTGGTCGTGAGATCACCTCTGTTTGCGGCAACAAAATGAATTCAATTTCAAGCATTCACATGAGAAATCACATGTGTATTGCCCGACGGAAGTCGTGGTCGGCCGACTCGATTGGCATGCTCCTGCAAAAGACCAAACGCATTGCAGTTGCAGCGGCCATTGATGCAACAGGCCCCAAAACACCATGGCTTGCCACTTATCACACTGAGGCTCAACGTCTTCATCGTCGCGACCTCAGAGGACTTTGCTTCAGGCCTGGGGGGGAAACATGTACAAAGTACTGTTCTCACCAACGCACCTCTGCAAAGCGGGGGGTGTTGATAGGTAGTGGCATTCCGACATGATACTGGCTCAAGAAAAATTGACTGCCGCCCGTGCTGACATTTAGGTAGATTCCACCTTTCAACATCATAGGAGGACCTAGATAGCCAAAACCCGGCTAAGTGAAGGTTTGCAAGGGACAGTCCCTGGAAGTCTAGAGGAATCTCCACATGGGGTGACCACCTTTTTGGGTTTCCAATGTCTTTGTCGAAGGCGCCTACAAAATCGCAGGTGCCGGGTGCAGCGCTGCTGCGCGCCTTGCACCTCGCCGCTTTGCGGCGCTATGCGACCAGGCCAACGCAGGCCCGAGCGGCCAGGGGGATGGCTGGAACAACTCGAAGCAACTCAAAGCAACTAAAACCAACTACGTATAAACACCGCTAAACCAATCACACAACAAAAACGCAACTAAAAGGCGAAGGAACCGGAGGATGGGAATAACCCGTCTTGACACCGGCAGACTTAGGTGACTCGTGCTCAGTAGGCAATGTGGGAATGAACCCAGGCTTTGGTCCCCTCAAAGGACACCGCCAGTTGGATGGTTTATAGAGGTCATTCCAAATATCATTCCCTGATGAGCACAAGGTGACCTTAGGGTGATTCCCTCAACACTTATCCTTCCTACCACATGGCCACCTCAGGTTCCCGGTCCCTCCAAAAGAAAACTGATCTTCCAGGCACCTTCCAGGTGCCACTTTGAAGGCTGCCGGCAGCCAAGCTGACGATCGGAGGGTTTTGCAAGACTACGACTCTTTGGAGGAACATGTCCACTTCAAGAGGGTAGCGAACTCCATGCTTCCTGATTTTCCCTTGCAACCATGTTCCACATGTTCCGGTTTTTCTGGTTTTCATGTTACTGCTTGTTTTCTGATTTCCCTTTCTGTTTTCTGGTTTTCTCACGTGTTCCCTTGCAACCAGCAAAAAGCGAACTTTTCGCCGTGGTCTCTGTCTGGCCCGGAGTCTTGCAAGTGAACCACCCGCACTGAATCACACAACTCATTGGTTTGCAGTATATTTTGCAGGGTGCTCCCTACCACAACTCCGGCAATTTGCCACAAAGTACCCGGTTTCCCTTGTTCCAGACTTACTTTCATTATCCAGGGCGTCCATTACCTTTGTTTTCCCAGGACCTAAGCTGAAATTGGCAAAATATGTTTCTCTTGCTTTCAACATGGCGAGTCTGCCATTTGCTGTTTCAGGGTGCTGGAAGATGAAGCTCGTTTCTCTCTTTCTTCCCACATGATCCAAGTCCTGCCGCCTCCCACACACTCCACCTAGATTGTACGTACCACAAGTAAATTGTAGTATATATATATATATACTTATTTATTTTACATGGTATACGTATTATATATATATATAGTATATATATATGTGCATCTTATACATTATATATATATATATATATCATGTGTAGACATTTAATCTATGTTATATACATATTATGTGAATTCTACAACATCACGTCATCCTTCGGACGGATTTGCGTCTACTGCGGGAGTCTTTGGGCTCGGTCCGAGGCTTTCGAGGTGCGGCTGCCGCACAACGACCCGCGGCGGGAGGTCTTCGCTTCGGTCCACCGCGCGGTGTGGATGGCCCCGGACGCGCGCGCCGAAGGACGGGCGCCGAAGGACTAAGCCGAGTCGTCGGATTGAAAGGAGCAGCTCCAAGGAAGACTCCAAACACCCCCACCTCTTTGTTTTTTGTTTTTTTTTGGGTGGTGTGAGACATGCGCGGAGTGAAAAACGGTTCGCAGCCCGACGTGCCAGACAATGCAGCATCTGGGGTTCTTGCTGCTTCCCAGGTGCCAGCAACATCAGCTAAGGCCCTAAGAATCTTGGAGGTCCAAACCTTTTTAGTGGGGGAGCCAAGCCCTTTGGGTCCGGAAGGGTTTTTTTTTTTTTTCTGGGGGAGAATATATTGCATAGGTGAGCCCATGAACCTCCTCGACGTTGATGTGGAGCGGCGTTTGTCTTCGGAGGGCAATGCGGTGGTGGATGGAGTGGCTTGGATGGATCGGCCTGATAGCCTTACCACATCCAAAACGAGATGGTGTCATCCATTAGCTTCAGAATATTATGTATTTTCCCCTGTCGGTTTTAAAGGGAAACGATTTCACTACTGGAAATATATGTGTATTCTTTCCAGGGGACTGAAGCAGATGGAGGGTGCCCATTTCACAGAAAACCATTGGTATCCTTGCAGGCATCTTTGCTTCGTTGTGTTACTGGGGAGCAGAAGGAAAACCAGCGCTGAAACAAGACAAACTCAAAGCCCAAAGCACATCAAAAGGCACGTTATTCAGAACAGGCAACCGTTTTCGTGTTTTTTTTTCCCTGTGACCCCTTACTGACTATTGGCAACTATGTATCTGAACCGTATTCACGAATACGAGCGACCTGCGATCCCTGTTTTTCTTGTAAAGTCGTCCCCCGATATTTTTAGTCAATCAGGTCGTTTCTGGGGCTGCGCCTCAAATTTACACCGGAATCGTCATGCCAAGGCTGTTGGACTTAGGGTTGAGCTCCTGGAAACATGCCGGGGGGATACAAAGGTCAGCTTTTGGCTTTCCAGCCCATATGGCCGAACGACCGGTTCCTTTTACTTGGGGTGGTCCTGGTAAGGATCCCTAATCACCGTTGGAATTTGAAACTAAGGGAGCCATGACCCAATCGGCCAAAGAAACAAGGGAGCTGCGTATGGACGTGGTCCAAAAGGTGAATGAAACCTATTCAGCTGTGTGAGTCATGGGAAAGGCCTCGGGGTTAGAGCCACGTATCTCCCACAGCCATGGGGATCGACATGGTGTGGCTTTTTTTTGTTTCAGGATGCGCCCTTTTTGGGGTATGTGTTGTTTGTTTCCTTCGGGAAGCCAAAAGGAGCCAACAGGGTTCCCCAAGTTTAAGACACGCCCACACCAACCGATGCACACTGATGGCCACAAGTCCTGCTTGGGCTATGCCTGAAGAGGCGCCAAGCCGCCTACTAGGTAGCCCATGGTTAAACAAGCCGAAGGAAGCCCACAGGGCAATGGTCTTCGCCTTTTCCAGACCAGTGTGGATGGACCAAATCCTGCACCAGTTGGCATAGGCGGTTTATTCCAGTATTCATCGTATTCATCTAAGATTTCATCCATACTGATTTTGCCCATGAATGCATACAAATAGTTGCATTTGAATAATATCAAAATCAGTATGGATATCAAATAGTTATTTCATCAGTATTTTGTCCAATTACTGCATACTGTTTGAATGCAGTTTGAAGTAATATCAAGTCGTATAGAAATAGTAGGCAGTGAATTTTTTGTTGGGGCGCCATGGCCCAGAGGTCCTTTCGGACTCGGCGCTGAAGATCATGCAGACGCACCTGCAGCAAAGCACCATGTGCCCTGTCCATGTGTGTGTGTGTGTGTGTGTGTTTTCTTGGTGGCTCCCAGCCATCCGGTTCCTTAGCTTTTTAGCCTTGTAGTGTTTAGTGGTAGTTTCCATTTAGCCCACTAAAAGTTAGTCACTTTTAGAACGGGCAGCTCAGTTTTGAGGGGGCTCAAAGGGAAACCTCTTTGGGAGTAGTTACCCCTTGAACACATGCGCATGCGATCGGCGATGCTCGCAGAGGCATGGCGCTTTTGGGGCGGCGGGTCCCCCCAATTCCCCTTGCCTCGCGCGGCTTTTCGAGGGGCCGTGATTTTGAACCACTCCAGCAGGGATCAAAGGTATGAAAAGGTGTTGTTACGTGAGCCTGCGCCGTTTCTCTTCTGACGAAAGTCAACCCCCAGAAATGAAAGATTTTCTTGGTCAAAAACAGGTACTATCACCGCGAGAAGTCGGGTGCTTTTCTTCTGGCCTCGCTGGACGATGGTTTGGCCTCTCAACTCCTGGCTCAAATCGTGGAGAAGTTGCAAGAGGCGCAGCAGGATTTGGGAACCCTACTCATTGATGGAAAGAAGGGACACTCCTGTGGTCGTACCGTTATGAAGTTTTTCACCGCAGACGGGATCAAAAGGTAAACCCTGGCCGGTCCCTGTGGTCCATCGATTGGATACATCTTGAAACTCCCAGCCCTGTGACCTCCTCACCGGTCGGATTGATGGTCGCAAGCAGAAATATATGGGTCCCTGGATCGCCAGTTGCTGCTTCTTTCCATCCACTTTACCCCAAAAAACCAGCAACAGTGACTAAAAACAACAGCAACTTGGCTATCCAGGTCGGTCTTTTTAGTATTTTAGTACCCCTTTTTGTGGTTGGTTCAAAGGAAACCACAAGAAAGCCCACCTTTTTGGGAGTACCCCGAAAAAAGACACACCTATATTTGGCAACAAGGGCGGTATATTTTCGTTGCAACACGCATCAAGAAGCCTGCAAGCACAAGTAGATGAAAAACATTTTTTCACCCCACAACTGGCAAGGTGGTTCAATGGGGCATGTGCCGCGACTCAAGATGACCCTTGCTTGTGGAAGTTAAACAAAGAAGAAGCATGAGACGGTTGCCACTTGGGTTTTCTTGGTTTGTATGTTGGGCAAATGTCAAGAGGTGGCGACCCCCTTCGAACAGTTGACGTTAAGTTGGCTCCTTTCTGTTTCCCCTCCCCCCCCCCCCCCCGAGTCGGGTTGTCACTGTTGACATAGCCATACTTGTTTGCCCCCTTTTGAGGCGGGAAGGTGAAGCCATTCATTTTTAGGGGTCCCCTTTTGGTGCGTTTTCAACTAACCCGGGTGCTCTTTTGCTCTTCGCATGTCTAGCTTTTTGGACGTCCAATTCTCGCCAAGGTTAGAGAGCCATGCTAAGGGGGTCACAAGCCTCCATGCGGTTCCTACACGTCGACCTGTCCTTTGTACGTGCCCTTTGGGCATTTCTCAAGGAGAATGGGCTATTCTCAAGGAGAACCCAACGGGGACATCCTTTTTAGGGTCTTTTCAAGACACACCCATTAAGGGTATGGGTCGAAATTTAAACCACCAGGGGACCGCAGGTTTTAGTCCTTGGTTCCATTTGGGGTCATTTTTGGGTACCATTTTTTGACCACGCCCATTTCATCACTGCAGTTTCCACTTTCGAATGTGGCGAAACAATAGGCCCTGCCCTCCATCGGCCGCCTCTGCGATGCGATGGCCTACAAGACTTTGAGCGTGCCAACATCTTCCGCGTCGTTTGTGTCTGCGCAGGGCGCTTCGGCGCCTCGATTCGCATTGGTGTTGTAGGTGTCTACTACCTTGTTCAATTGGGATGGTATAGCAAAGCCGGTGCTCTTTTCGGTTTTGAGATACCGCAATTACAGCAGATTTCAGCAAGGAGCTGAGGCTTCGCAGTCATACCGACGGATGTCCTCCCCCACTTCGCACTAGATGGGATTCGCGGTTCATCGTTGTTTTCGGCTTTCGGTTTCGATCGGCGTTGATTCGGACGCGGATGTATCCAGGCGGCAGCCTTGCTGTGGCTGACGCCCTCCAAGATCGACCAGGTTCTTTCACTGCCAAAGCCCGCGAGCGCAGCCGAGGCGGTGCGACGCTCGACGCATGGTGCGTCTTTTCTTGAGGGTACCCTCCCACCCATGCACATGGAACCCCCACTGTCAGGTTCCATGTGAATTGGGGGGAGGGTACCTCTTTTTTGTGTGTTTTAGAGGGATGCAAAAAAGACACACTTTTGAGACAATCCCTGACTGCTGTCCGCAATTCGGGCATCTTCACTGCTCCAGGCTCCACGGATTGACCTTGAAGCCTTTAAGCTTTCGGAAATTCGTCTTGTTTTTCATGCAGCAACCGACATGAATCTTTTTCAAGGCGCCCTGGAGACCAGCTCAGTTTCGGACAACTACTGATGTCGGGGACATGTACGAACTTTCAGATATGGGTGTGTCCTTTTGTAGGTGACCCCCCAAAATGGCAAAACGGTTTTCCTGATGTTTTCCCTGTAAAACCAAACAAGGGTGTAGCAACTAAAAAAAAACAAGCCAACTGTTGGCCTTGATATCATGGCTCCCATGGATCCCCACGACCTCCAAATTTGCCTTGTTGACGTGCGAAAACCGAGTTTTCCGGGGGTAAAAGGAGCTTATGGCAAAGGACCAACGCTGAAATTCCTTTCTGGGTGGTTTGTGAGCAACTGTTCACCCCAAAAAGTCCGGGGGACATGGTAAGCCGCCCTAACATCATAGGTGTCCTTTTTGGTTGGTTTGGATAAAAAATAGAAGGCCCTGGTTTACTTAGTTGCTCAATCATCTACCAGGGCCATCTATTTGCCAAAAAGGACGCCTATGCCTAATATGTTTTTAAGGAGAGCCACCCTGAAGTGACCTGCTCAGGCCATGCCGTGAATCGCATGGTGCTCTGGCGTGACGACTGTGCTGCCACTGCGCCCATTTGGCACCACCACAGCATAGAGTCACTTACCTGCAAGCGAAGCACGTACAGAATCAAGGGGTCAGTTCTCCAAAAGTTAGGCCCTTAGTTTTTCAAGGGTGATGGAGACTCCAACTTGTACCATCCTTCCATATCCTTCCGATGAAAGGTTGGAAGACCATCACGTTGGTCCCTTGGAGGTCCAGTGCCATTCAGAGTGATTTTTAGATCGATGGCATGTAGCAACTAACATTGTTCGATCATATTTGCGGGTTGGGCGGCTCGGCAGTTGTTTCGTGTGAGGGAAAATACTTGGATCCCTAGTTCAATTTCCAGGAGAGTGGCGACTTGGGCCATACACATCGCACAGGTTGGGGGGTCCTCAACGCCTCTTGCAAGTATGATCTTTGAGCATTTCAAGATCACCTAGTCGGATGCGGCTGACGCCAGTGAGCCCAGATGACCGCATGCCACAGTTGGTTTACACAGACCTTGATCAGGCCTCCCAACCCTTCACATCCCTTCACGAATGACCAAACCAGGGTAGAACCTTCTAGAGCCGTGGGCTCGTTCGTGGTCCCCTGTGTTCATTTCTTGGGCTGGGAGTGTATCCTTTTTCTAGGGGAACCCCCCGAAACGGTGGAAAAGCAACTGACTCCTCTGGACAGTTGCTTGGGCTCCTCTAATTTCCGTTTAAGGACGACAAAATTGTGTGATCCTTGGAGCAATCCTCTTGAGCCGCCCCAACGTTCGGAAGGAGCGCTGGGATGGGATGGCACTCAGCCCGGCTTCCCAGGAGTGACTACCTCCACCGGACCGTGCACTTGGTGCTTCGCTTTCAGAATCCGCGGCAAGAACCAAAAGCCGCAGCTCAAAGTTTCGCTGCGCAGGTCCATTTGGTTTAGACAGCCTCCCCCCCTTTTTCCGGTGACATCTCAGCTCGGAAGCCTCGTTGTGCAAGATCTTGGTAGGAAAGCGTGTGGCACTCAGACGACATCTTTTGCAAGCGGCTCATTGCAAGAAGGGGCTGCCGATTTGCAGAATCTGAGTCGTTCCATCGAGCAGACATCTTGCCTGACACTTCGGAACTGGGGATTTGGAGCTGATTCCTGAAAGTTCGAACATGGTCATGAACCCTAAGGGTCCCGATTGAACATGTCTTGTTTTTGAGGGCCCTTGAGGAATTGGTCGGGGTTCTCCATTGGGATCTGGTCCGGAGTTTGCATTGGATCGGGTGCCCTTAGGGAACCAGAACCATCACTGCCCAGCCGTTTGCCATCCTCTCCAATCCGTGCTGAAAGAGCTGGGCGCGGACGCGTTGCGTGCAACGCTCTCAAGGCATTAGACGGAACAACCCCGCAAGGCTTGGCGCCGTTTTCGTCGAAACAATCAACTCCCAGGTTGATTCGTCCAAACCCGGCTGGGTAAAAAGCTATGTGACAGCAAAAAGCAGCGGCTTGTGGGGAACCGATGGCTTCCTCGGCCAGCTAAAAAGACGGAGTTGAACCTTTTGCAGTTTGGCCAAAGCAAAGGTACATGACTTGCTCAGCCTCCCCAGAAAAAAGAGAAAAACAACAACACAAAAGGTGTTTTTATTTCAAGGTTTGCCTCAAACATAGACTTTCGTCTACCCTGGATTTGGGCCAAGAGACTGCAGTTCGGACGGCCTCCCAGCTCGGCCGGTTTTCTTAGTCTCCGGCCACCGATTGCCATGTAAGCAGCATGGAGGACCGGCGGGGGGAGGGGGGGGCGGGCTCTGATTCCATGAGCGGTCTGCCAAGCTGACCGCAAGGGCTCGACCTTGTTTTGATGTTTGATGCCGGGTTCTTTGCCAGACTTTCTGTGGGGCTGTCTTTGGCCTGCAGTTTCTCAGAATCCAAGGTACAACCCAACAGACTGGCCCGTGCGCCCAAAAATCAGGGCAAAACGGATGTGGTCACCACTGAGGGGGGGGCAGGCCATGACCATTCGCACAGGTTCGCAAATCTGTTGGGGGTTCGACTCAAAGTTCGCAATGCCTGGCCGGGTTCGCAAACCCGAAATGGAATTCTTCAACCTTCGCAAACTGAATTGGGAAATCCAAAGGTTCGCAAACCCAGTCCAGGGTTCGTGCGAGGGCGGCGCCGGCCCGGCGCAGCCTCGGCCAGGTCCTGCCAGAGGCGGCGCCGGCCCGGCGCAGGCCCTGGCCAGGTCCTGCCAGAGGCGGCGCCGGCTCGGCGCAGCCCTGGCAGCCTAGCTAAGCCCCCCTGCGTTCGCGCGTGACTTTGACAGTTCGCAATCCCCGCCATGTTCGCAGATGAGAAGCGGGTTCGCAAACGTTCGCTTAGGTACTTTGGGTTCGCGTAGGTTCGCTAAGATTTTTGCCTGCCCCCCCCAACTGGTGACCACATCTGTTTTGCCCTTAAAAAACTTTGTTGACGCCCCCCTTGAGGTGCAGGACACCTTCCTTAGCATGTTGTGTCTTTGTTGGCCTTGACACACTTTTTGAGGGCACTTTAAAGGGACCCCAAAAGGAAAACCCTTCATTTTGGGTGTCCAACCTTACAAAAGACACACAAGCCGGTTTCTCAGGTGAGCAACAGCTATTTTGGCGAGTTGGCTGTCCGCCGTTGGGAGACGGATGGTTCAGACTGCGGCTCACAATCATAGGTGTCCTTTTGATCGGTGAGTTTGGCTAAAAGCCTCGATGGGTTCCACTGGTCTAGATGGGTTTTATTCTTTACCATTGCCCGAAAGGCCACACAATTCAGGCTGCCCCTAATTGGTGGTGTGGATTGGTGGTTTGGGGATTTGAAAAATGGTTCTTGTAGAGGGTAGATGGGAAACCCCTCCTGAACCACCAAACTGCCAATCCAAATCACCAGTTGCCAGAAATTGGGGAAGCCGCTGCGACCAAGCATCATGGATGTGGACAATACAGTATGTATTGGAAGATGGTCGGCTCCAACTCACCCGTTGGAAGGACGCCGAAGAATGCTCTGTCCCGCAGGACTGTGGGAATGAACCCAGGGATCTTGAAGGACCCCACCAGGTTGGAGGCTGAAAAAATGGGGCCATTCCATTCTCATTCCCATCTCTCCCACAAGTTCAGCTCGAAAATGGATAGATGATTGAACCAATTGAACCAATGCGGGTCCTTCCCTGAGCCCAGGACGCTGCCCTGTCCGAGGACAGCTTCGCGGCCTGGGATCCCTTCACGGATCCCAGCGACGCGCGGCAGGCGCCGCGGCGCTTCGCTTGGGGTGCCTCGAGGTGAGCGGCGCACATGCCACGAGGGAGGGGCCAGGGGCGGCCTCCAAGAAAACAATGTTCCCCGCCCCCCCCCCCCCCGAAGAAAAAAGCAGAAGAGGAAGCAAACAACAACTCACAATGGAGCCATCTTTGCTGCGTCCTCAGGGCTTCATGAATCTGATGTTGACATCAGGAGTTGATGCCCGTTAGAATGGCTCGAATCACAAGGCATGGTCAGCACGATGGGCGTTGTGGTGCGCCAGGGAAGAACAACAGCCTATGCCGTCGGAGAAGAGGAGAGCAACGGGCGGAGTTGTGGTGCTGCGCTTCATTGAGTTGTGTTGTCCAAAGGTTCAGGCATACTGTCTATTTTAGAGCGAACTCACCTGGGGGTGCAACGAGCCATGATAAAAGTCCTGTACTGGGAGATCCCTTCATTCAGCCTTGCAGGTCCCCCACGGAACCACAAGCTGGGTTGTTCAGAATCAGTCCTTAATCCTCGTTCCAGATGGTGGCAATTTCCCTTCTCGTTGGTGTGTCTCCATGCTGATGTGATTGGGATGAGGGATCCTTCTAGGGGTACCTTCCCCATTCTTTCCAGGCATCCTTCTTTCCAGAACACCTCCAGAAACCGAGGGAAAAAAAAACCCGGCCGGTGTTTGGAAAGAACGATGGTTGAAACTCATGGAAAAGGACTCAACCCCTATCCTCAACTCTGAACAAGGCTTTTGTTCCTATGGCCTCCGGGCATCTGAGATTACCAGTCAAAATGTTTCTTTGCACAGACCACTGCTCAACATGCGGAACCCTGCGCGCAGGAGACGAGTCCGGAGGTCCTGTGGGATCCACTGGCGGCGCGGAGTCGCACGCGCGGGCGGAGGGGGTGTTACATTGTTGAGTTTTGTCTGGGACCTTTCTCAAAAATGCCTTTCTCAAAAATGCCTGGTGGACGATTCATCCCCATGCAAACATGTCCAAAGTAACTAGCATGGGTTCTTTGATCGAGAGTTCCCATTGTGAGGTTTGGTCAAGATTACCGGTCTGTGGTCTACGGAAGGGTACCCACTTCTCCCAATACCCGCGTTTTTAGGTATCATGTCAACCCGTTACAGAAAACACATGTTCTATTATACCATGGTTTCAAGCAGGTTTGCCAAGAAGTATCAACTAAAATCATTTGGGTAAGTAGGGGGTACCCAGTGCTAAGGAAATACAATGCCAATGTTCTGAACCCCTAGAATGTTTATGGACTTACTTTTTGGGTTTGGGCATACACAGAACTTTGTTACTTTTGTTGGACATCCACTCAGGAAGTGAGACACCCTTGGTTCTTGTAGGTTCTCTAGAGAAACCCAGCGTTTTGGGGCTGAACCTCATCATTATGCACAATGTCGGCTTTGAGCTGTACGCAGAGAGGTGCAACTTTGCCGGTGTCTTTTCTGATTTCCCTTTCAACCTTTTGTTTTTTTGAGGTGCCTTCAAAAATACAGACCTAAGGAGATAGAAATTTGCCATGGATATCTGAGCCTGCAAAAGAGATATACGCACTTCTGTTCGTACCATGAGGTGGTGTTAAAGGAAAACCAAAAGGATACCGTTTTGCCATTTTGGGGGTTCCAACCTAAAACTAGACGAGCCACCCATATGGGCATGGGTCAAAATTAATCCACCGGTTTTAGGCCATGTTTCCACTTGCCAGGGTTCCATTTTGGGTATCTATGTTTGACCCACATCATATTCTAGTGAGTTTCTGAACTTTGTACTTTTCAGGGTTGGACCATAGTAGCAGCCAAAACAGCTGGGTGCCAATTCTGGCCAAACTCGATCAAACATGAGTGTATGTTCAGGTCAGATATTCTCACTTTGCGAGTTTCTGGACTTTGTACTTCTCGGGGTTGCAGCCTAAAAAGCTGGGTGCCACTTCTGGCCAAACGTGATCAAACATGAGTATATTTTCAGGTCAGCTATTCTCACTTTATGAGTTTCTGGACTTTGTCTAGGTCCCCCAGTAGTGCCCTTTTACCCTTTTTGGGGGGAGGGTTCCCCTACTAAAATTGACTACAGAAAAACGGGTACCCTTATTCTAGCCTCTCTACTGGAGGACCTAGTTGTACTTTTCGGGGTTGGACCATAGTAGCAACCTAAAAGGGCTGGTGGCCAAGCGCGAATCAACCGCCCCCTCAAACTACCCGCAAGACTTTGTGGTTCCCAGCCGTCCCCCTAGATGCTTTTGCTAAGCATCTAGCAGAGAATCTGGGAGCAGCCCACAAAACCGACGTCACTCAGAATGCCCTTTGGATCCCATGTTAAAGGGTTCCAGGCTCGGATTGTTTTTTTTTCACGCAACTCGCTGACCCAAAGAACGCAAGGAAGGCTTCAAAGAGATGAGCGGAACTCCATTTTCTTAGCGTTTTTTTTGTTTTTGTTTCACTCTAAGTGTTTTTATTGTGGTGGCCATTTGTCCGTTTGAAAGGACATGTTTCACTAGATTCCTGTTCCATTTTTTCCTCTACGGAAATGTCTAGTTTTTTTTTGTAGTTGAGCCATGCAGCCAAAGGCTCACACGCCTTTGTCTTGGGTTGGGTGGGGTTTGTGGGTGTCCTTAGGTTTGTTCGAGTAAAAGTAGATGGGTCCACTGGTTTTGGGTTTTTATTGCCATCCATGTCGCCCATCTTTGTGTGTCCCTTTTTGTGGTCTTAACATGTCCCATCTGTTTTTTTCCTCAAAAGGAGACCTATACGTTGTCAAGCGGTTTTCGACCTTTGGCTTGGGGCTTTTTGGCTCGACCTGGCGCCGCAGTGCTGTTTGAGCACGGGGAGAAGCCAGAAGGCTTGGTGAGCAAGATCGGGGTCTTAGCCAACTGGAAGTCTAGAGTTCTTGTTTCTTGTTTCACTCGGTCCAGATCTATAGCCCATCCGGCCCCCGCGACGATGGCGCCGACCTGCGAGAACCGGCAGCCCGCAATGCCGGACAGCGGCAGCTCGGTCCGAGCAAAAGGGTGGGGGGGGTCAGGTCAGGTACACAGCCGTCCTGTTTGGCTGTTTTGGTAGAAAAATCGTTTCCCTTCTCGTTGGTGTGTCTCAATGCTGATGTGATTGGGATTAGGGACACTGTCCTTTTTGGTTGTTTTGGTAGAAGAATAGAGGGCGATTCCTGGTTTACCTGGTGGTTTAATCATCTACCAGGGTCATCAGTTTCCCCTAAAAGGACACCTATGGTCAGGAAACGCTTCCATTTGCAAGGAACCCTCATCTTTTTTGATCAACCAACCAGTTTCTTTGTTGGCGGGGGTGCTTCTCCGTGATTCAAAGATGTGGGTGTCAAAGATGGGAGTCCAATTGGTGGGCCTGGTTTATGTGGGGCCCCGCCCAAGAAAGAAGGGGTAAACCAAAAGAAGGGGGCCCATATGTTTGACCATCCACCAGGTAACGAAGCCATTTGCTGAAACCGAGAAGCGGGTGATTGGAAGGGAGCCGTTCCGGAGCCAGGGGTAGCCACATTCCCTTTATGGGTGAGCCTTTCGGAGCTACCAGGAGTTCTGTAAGAACATAGTAGAGTTTAATGAGTTCTGTCATTCGCCCTTAAGGGGGTGTTAGCAAGGAATATGTGTCATTGTCCCTTCTTGGTTTTTCAAGGGAATCGATATCACTACTGGGAATATGGCTGTTTTGTTCCCAGGTGGCGAGAAAAGCAAATGGAAGGGAAGTAATGCTGACCCCTGATTGATAAACGCCCCCACTTATTAAGGCCGGTCCCACTTTTTGGTGGAAATCCATTCTTTCTCGTTCAAGGGGGACCCTGGGTTAGTAGCTGGGGGGCGGTCATTCATCAGGGGTCTACACAAGGTTATGACCAATCAGCTTCCGACAAACTAGAACTATTTTGTGCGGTTTTGAGGGGCAAAGTCAGGAACTGGGGTTGTTTGCCTTTAGATCCAGTCTGACTGGTGGTTTGGAGCCGAGTGGTTTGGCGGCGTTTTTCATGGGTGGTCCACGTGCAGGGCTTCAACTCCCTTCAGGACCCATGATTCTAAGTGGCAAAAGTGAGGCCTTCCCTAGTCGCTCCTCTTTTTCTCATTTGTTTTTTCGCTGTTTTGGGGTCCCCTTTGTTTTGTACCAGGCAGAAAATATGTTTGTTTTTTGCCGGGGTCCTAATTCCAGACAAGACGAGGGTAGGATGCATCCCCAGCATGTTGGCAGCCCCTCCCAAACGGACCGAGACCATTTGGGGGGAAAAGGACGCCAGGGGAACTCAAAACGACGCCCGTTTCCCCCAATTTTGGCCAGGGGAGGGGGCCAAAACCAGGGTAACTCACGATGAATTGGGTTGCCTTGTTCCATTACTTGCAATATTTAGGGCATCCACCGCAACCATGGTTAATTCGATCCCTTAACTCACGCAACAACTCACAAAGTGACACTTACGCAACAACAAAGTGACAAGCAAGAAAGGAACGCAAGGAAGCAAGGAAGCAAGCAGAAGCAAGAAAGCAAGCAAACCACATGGATGATTCGAATAACAAAGTGACAAGCAAGGAAGCAAGGGAAGTAAGCAGAAGTTTGGAAGCAGAGCAAGCAAACCACAGAAATCAAGGAAGCAAGAAAGCACAGCAAGCAATGGCAAGCAAGAACTTGAAAAGAGCACAGGATTGCCCAAAACAAAGAAGAAAAGGAACACAGGCAAGGCAAAGATGAAAGGAATTTCGCAAGAATGGAGGGAGAGAGATCCAAGAGTGCATGGCAGAAAAGTGCAAGCACGTGGAAGGATGCAGCAAGAATGGAACAAGGACCAGTGCAAGAATTGTGCAATGAAAGCAAAGTGCAAGCACACCAAACAGTGCCAGAACAGCACAATGAAAATGACAGACAGTGCAAGAACAGACAGTGAAAACAGACAATAATGCAAGGAAGGCAAGGACAGTGCAAGAACACCACAATGAAAGCACAGAATATGCAAGAGTGAACAAGGAAAAGTAGCACAATTGGACCAAACATGTTTTTTGTCCCACTAAAAAATGGCTTTTTCAGAAATTTGAAACAAGCCAACATTTCCCGAAAACAAAGATGTGAGGTTTGTTATGCCAAAAAGCGCTCCTAGACTCTACTGATGTGAGGCTTGTTGCGCAACTCACTTCGATCCCTTAGATCACTTTTTCGCCGGGTAAGTGGCGTAGGTTACCAAGAACTCACTTGGCCGAAGACCCAAGTACCAACTTAAGGTGAGATAACCTGCTCACCCGTATTTTGTCCATCCGAGCAAAGCTCAACTCCTTGGGCTAAAGCTTCCGCTTTGGGTTTGTTGGAAAGGGACGGCAGACGCAGATGTTACGGACTCCTTTTGACTTAGGAAGTGAGTAGGGTTTTCTTGGTACTTTTTGGGGCTGGTTCAAAGGGAAGCCAAGACAAAGCCACCCATTGATGGGGGGGTCCCTTTCACACAAGCCCATGTTTGTTGCAAGATTATCATGTTAACCCCAGACTAAAGAAGGAGGTATTTTTTGAGGCAAACCAGATGTTGGAAAACAATCAGGTTGTTGTTTGGAGTACTTTGTTTTTACAACATATGTTGGCATTGACCGAACATGAAGCATAGGCTAATTGTCCAATGGTTGTCAAAGGCTCCCCAATCCCACTATGGGCGATATTTTTTAGCAACTCATCAGGTCGATGGGGCGACTGATCGGGTTCCTTTCGGGTGTCCTTTGTTGGGGGTTGCTTGACCATGGGAATGTAGGTCTGGTGCACCCTGCAAGGCATTCCGAAAACCGATACCGAAGCCCCACCTTATCCATGCCGCACCTTGGGGTCGTTTCAACGTTGGCCACGTGGAAGAAGGCCTGGGCTTAGGGGCGTAA